CAACCTTTGAGAAAATCAGACTGGTTACAAGTTGGTTATTGGTTTTGCTTTCCCTTATTTTGCCTTTGGAGCTCATTTGAGTCGTTCAAAAACTGAATATTTTTTTTCTGATCTTGATTTGCTCACATTCAGAATCAAGTTCAGGTGGTCAGTTTTTAGAAAGAATGTGTTACTACATGCCACCTAAACACCGTGCATTTATAGAGGCTGTGGCAAAAGGGCCATCAATCAGAAACTATGGTTAGTGTATATTTTATAGGCTTATGATGACAAAGCAAGAAGGGGCAGATCTAGGAAAGGGGTGAAGGGGTATACAACCCTCCCCCCCGAGATGATCTGCAGCTTTCTAATGTAACTTCACAGATACACATTACACATTTGTTAGTGGTGCACCCTCTGCTAAGAAAAATCCTGGATCCACCCTTGCAAGAGGACATATTTTTTGTTGGTTTTACTCATTGGTATTTTGTTTCTCAAACTTTATCATTGTCTTCTTTGTAATGTGGGTAATAGGGCTTTTTCTCCTACAATACCATCCGTAACACTTTTTTTTTTTACTTAGTAATAATTTTCTCATGATAAACTAATTGGGATTCAGCTAGGTGCTTGAAAACTCTGATTCTGATCATCACTCAATATGATTACAGTCCACCCAAATGGACACTATGTTTTCATGAAAACATAATGATTGTCAATTACCTTTTCTCTAATCTGTGTACATATTCCATTCAAAATAGTCTTTGCAAGTGGAGACCCTGATCTCACTAGGGAGTATGATCTCTGTGTGGGAAAATTAACAGACTTTAGAAATGTGCATTTACAAGTTGTAGCCAGGTTAGTGGGTTGTAGCACACTAGATGGGGAGGCATGCTTCTCCCACAAGAGTATTTACTACCATTGTTATGGAGAATAAGGAATTCATGCATTTCCACTACAGCATGTTAACCCTTTGACCAGCATCCAATTTCTCCCTACATTATCACCCCTAAATCAAACATTTAGGTCACAAGAATAAAGAAAATGATCATCAACAAATGAAGCTCTTGATTGTTAAACAAATTCTCCTCATCAGCACCTAAGGAAATGTATAGAGAACAGTATGAAGAATATGTGTTCTGAGACCACCCAAAACAGTTTAGGGTTTTAACAGTGCATTAGTGGTCACGTTACATTTCAAAGGCAATAAAGATGCTTTGTTCATCTTTCAGTTATAATCACAAGTTTCAGGAATGCTTTTTCTCTAATAAAGGAATGCAGTTTGGCTCTCATAGCCAAATAGCCCCCCCCCCCCCCAGGAGAGGGAGGAGGGGTACCTGTAATATGGATGCAACATATTGGTTATCTAAGAGTTAATGCAGATATAGTCTTTCATGCAAACTTTTCTAGTAATTCCTGATTAATAAAAAATTTTCCATTCAGATCAGACAGATGTTGGAATGTTGGTGTTGATTATGATTGAAATCCACTTTTACTTAAACCATGTTACTCCGAAGTTGAGTGTTAACTCTCCCCTCCAGCTGCTGCACATTTCCATGTAATTTAGTCACAAGGATTTGGTGTTAGATCAAGACAATAACTGCTTGATAAGTTTGAGTATTTGCATGACCTGTTTGCTGAATAGTATAAGGATATCAAATGGGAGCAGTTACATGTGAAGCACTTCTGGGATTAGAGGTTAAAAATCTCTTTTGAGGATGAAAAAATTCAGCAGAAGTAATAATTCTGTTATTGTTGTTGTTCATATTTAAGCTTAATGCAGTTAACCTTTTGCTTGCTAAATGATATGAGCATATACAATACACTATTCAATTTTTGCCCACATTATATTTAGATACATCGTTATTCCATCAAACAGAGGAAAAGATACAAAGCAGAAGGGAAAGGCCTTGATTGGCACAGGAGGGTCCGGTGAGGCATGGCTTCCTCTATCAACATTATGTTCACAGTCACAAGTTGAAAAATATTCATAATAAACTAGTGATAATTGTAATTGGGTTATATTACCATGTTGTCATGTGGGAAAGTGAATAATCCATGCACAACTTATAATAATGGAACCACATTCTTAGCTAATATTTCACTGACTCTCAATTGATATAACACCATAATATAATTCACAAGGCTGCCAGAGAATTAAAATTATCACAAGTTTACAATAAACCTACATAATTTGATTAACACATTAAAATTATACGTCAAAAAGGAAATGTTATGAAGCTTCCATCTACTGATGGCAAGTTTTTCTTTGTTTGTTTTTGCAGATCTTATGTCCTTCCTGAAGCAGATTCGAAATGAAACTGCCAGAACTGTTAGTTGTAATAACAATATTGGAAGAGATTCCTCTCTTGAACTACAAAAGGAATTAGATGGAGTGTCAGATAATACACTAATTAATGATGTGTGATGATGACTTGCAAGCTGACAAGTCTATCCAGCTTTTTGAGTGGTAAGCCCTGACCATGGGAGACTTCCACAACCAGGATGTACTTCAAATTCAAAGTCAAGACACTGACCAGACTTTTTTTTACCCTTTTTGAGTAATGTTTTTGGATAACAGAATGCAAATTAGTTTATTGTGTTGTTGTTTTATATTTTAACAAGGAGAGAGGTGAAATCTAGAGAGCAGATTTTCAATTTGAAATTTCATTTTTTCATTTTCCTTCATTTCATTTTTTTCATATTGTTTAAGTTTAAATGACACTTTCAAGTTAAAATTAGTTTGTATGTATCAAGGTATTATTAAGCTTTTTATGAAAGAAATGGTTTCAACTTGTTAAGCAATCCTCATACCGGCTGAATTTTCAAAAATTCCAAGCGATTTTAGGCAAGAATAAGAGGTACAACAGGCAGTAAATTGAACAGGTTACCACCTGAAAAAATAACACATTGGAAGTATGGGGATATTTATAGGGGACAAATTTCTATCTGAGTGGCCAAAAAAATCTACTACCTCAATTTTGAACAGTGACCAACAGTGACCAACAGTGACTAACTCGAAAGCTCATTGGCTACTTTGGTCACTGTATACAATTAAATATTCTTTCTTCTAGTTAATTTCTGTTTGTATTTTTTCTATATCATTGTAAATCATGTTATGTTAAGTTACTTTTTTCTGTAAACAGTGTGAAAAAACAAAACTTGGAAAACTTGGAAACTTGAAAATACTTCCACCATTAAAAAAAAGACTTCAGTTCCTCAAACAGAGAAGACAAATATTTTAATTTCAGTGCATACTGCTCTGTATAAATAAGTTAAGTTATGTTTAAACAACTGAAGAACTGATCATCCACAGTGCAATATACTATTCCATCTATGTGGAAATATATTTGAACATCAATGCACACAGCTGTGTATACATAAATTAAGTTGTGTTAACATATAACACTGAGGGTGTAATTACCTTGTTACCTTATAACTGAAAAATGCCATTTGAAAAGAAAACATTCGATTTTGCACTTCAGACGCTGAAGTGAATTGATCTCATTGACAAATGTCACAGACTGAAGTAAATTTGATTATTGAATTTACATTTTACAAGAATAAATAGAAATCTTTTCATTTATCCTTATTCAAATGTTATCCCTTTGTGTGCAATCTCAAAGCTTTTGTTCCCTATCTAAAGAAATTCCTCAACAAATGGATAAAAAATTTTCATCAAAAATAAGACCTCGTAGAAATAAAGTTTAGCAATTTACTGGCTGAACAGTTGTGAATTTGCCTGCAATTCACATCTGTTCATTCCAGACAGACTCGCTCAGAACACAATCAGTTATAATGGGGCAATTGAGACAGTCTCTAAAGAATTCCTTTGCTTCCTTGTGATTGACAGTCCAAGCAACCACTTGAATGCCCTGCTCACTCCACATTTCCAACATGTCCCTGAAAACAGACAGCATAATTTGTCAACAAATGACGATGACAAAGATGTTGATGATAAATATGATTAGTAACAAGTCTGAAAATTAATCCTTTAAACCCTTAAAGTGACCAGTATCTAATTTCTCCCTACAGTAATACTGCTGTCAAATCATTTGTTAAGATCATGAGAATAAAGGTAATGATCACCAACCTAAGAAGCTTTGGTTGTGAAAAAAAAATTTCCTTGTTGGTACCAAACATAATGCAAAGAGGAAAGTAGAGAGAATAGAGCTACTGATTTTAGGGTATAAAAGGTAACCAAACAGGTAAATTAGTTACAAGAATTTGGTGTTAGATCAAGATAAAAATTTCTACCTGAGAAGTTTGAGTATTCTCATTACCTGTTTGCTGTATAATGTATAGATATTATAGGGAGAAGTTGCATGGTAATCACTTTTGGGAGTTTAAGGGTAAAGCCAGACAAATGACTTACTTGCACACATGCTCCTTGGCACAAGACAGAATGGGAACGCCAACAAAATCAAGAAACCAAGGCAAGAGTGATTCCCACAGTCTATCAAAGAAACTCAACACTGATACTTTAATGGAACTCTTGATCTCAAATAGTTCCTTCCCTCCTGTCAAAATATAACTCAGAGTATCCCTCCACCATACTAGAGCTGTCACAATTTGTGGATCTACCTTTCTTACCTGAAAATTTTAAAAGCCAGGATGGTTATTATGGAATAATTTTAGACCAATTTTATGTTTAAAATCTAGTTTCAGACACAATGGAAAAGCTGCATGTCATCAGTGTCTTCAATATACTTGCTTAAGGATATTCTTTAGCCTGTGTCAAGCTCTTGGTTGATGTAAACAAGCAGAAAAGCCTACATGCACTAAAGTGGTGGTGGAGAGCTATTTCCTGAGAACCATCATTCTTCCCTAACCAACTCTTTCTCTCCTCATCAGTATCCCAGGGACAAAGGGATAGGCTGGATAAACTATTCTGAAGCTCAGATCCTCAGATTTTCATCCTCATCACCTCTTAAGAAATACTCCAGCAGTGATGCACATTGTTCAAATTATAACATATATCACTTATCATTTTAATCAGTATAACTTAACGGGGTTACCTGATAAATAACACTGGGAAAATAACAGCACACAAGGGCCTTATCATACAGGTGATAGCTTGAGAACAGATTCTTCAGATATTGAGCTGTCTGAAATAACAAAAAAATGATTCAGTGTAATAACACACAAGCACCCCAGAGAACCTCTCCAGAATGGCCTAAACAATACTTAGAGCAAGACTTGAAATAATTTTTTTTTTTTACAATGAACCAGAGATGTTTTCTTTACCCTGTGATCAGTACCTTATTTTTAACTGGACAAGGATGCAGCATGAAAAAACTTTACACCCACTTTATTTCAAATGCTAGCTGGTATTTTGCAAGAAGGGAAGCCTCACTAAGAAGAAAGTTGCAGTAGTTGACCCTGAACTTAAAGCAGGACAACATATCCTAAACCAGTTTCCATGTCTTCTGAAATCAATTTCTTTCAAGTTGATTAACAAACAACTGTAACTCCTTGTGGCTGTTTGCTCGAATTTCTCTAATTTCAAATTTCTAATTTGCATCTAATTTCTCCTTACTCTATCAGCCTTGAATCATGCATTAAGGTCAAGAGAGTATTGGAAATCATCACCAACAAAAAGAAGCTCTTGATTGTAAAACAAATTCTCCTTGTCAACACCTTAGGAAATGTATGAAGAACAGTAATGTATGAAGAACAGTAAGGAGAATATGCATACTGATGTTGGGGTGTAAAGAGTTAAAGAAGGTTGAAGTTTTGGTAACA